GCAAAAAGCACGGATGTTTTTCAAATAATAATTTAAAAAACTATTTCTAAACTAGAGATAACATATATTTATTTATGGACTTGAAACTTATAAATAATTTATTTTTAGTAGTAATTTATATTTAATTTTGAATCCATTAATTATATCTATTAATTTAGAATAATCGGTGTAAAATAATCTGAATGTGTACATTATTCATATTTAAAACATATTATTTAATTGTTATGATTGATAAAAAAACTCACGAGAAAATATATGAATTGTGCTTTGAAGTAGAATGTGTTGGAAAAAAAAAACAAAATATAGAAAAAAAGAAAAATAAAATAACAATACAAGAGATTAACGTGAAAACTGTAAAATCAGAGAGAAAAATTACGACTAAAGAAAATACTACGATCGTTGACAACGAGAGAATAACAATTGTGAAAATTATTACATCACATAATATACTCTTAGCTTTCTCAGGCTTCCAGTACACCTCCACTCTCCAAAACAAATATTTAACAACATCTCGCAACACTCTAATATAAGAGAATAAGAGAACAGATAAAGTCAAATACAAGATTAAAGTGCTTTTGACTTATGCATCTCGGAACGAAGAACTTAAATCCTATATATATCCTTGAACTCCTTGTTCTTTCACCAAACTAAGCGATGTAGGACTTAGAAGAACTTTAATCCTATATATAGCCTTGAATTTCCTCTTCCTTCACAAAACTAAGCGATATAAGACTTCTTCAACATGTATATTTTCAATCAACCCCAACAATATCCACCTTGATTGAAACTAATACATTAAGTCTAATTGTCTTCTCCGACAATCATACTCCACCATAAAGAGTATAGTTACTTGAAACTACATCACTCAAAGAATTTTCACATTATCTTGAAGATTATCATATTCAAGAAGAGTTTTAAAAATTATCATATTCTTTCATGAAGAATATATTTCACTTGAAGATAAACCACTTCAATAATTTCACATTGTCATCATCGACAATCATATACTTTATCTTGTTGAATAAATTTCACTTGAAGTTCAACCACTCCAAAAATTTCACATGTCAGAAATTAGGCTGAAAACTTATGGTGCAACTTCTTTGTTGACAGAAAGCTCTTCAACCACTGATATAATCTTGCACTTTGTGAAATCTTGATTGTGTTAACACATCTTTGATTTGAACTTTCCACAAGTAAAAAACAATTCTTCCATAAATGTTATCTAGCCCAAACTGCACAGTAGAACTTGTGACTGCAACTCAACAACTCTTTCACAACAATACCTTTCTTTTCTGATATGGAAGATCACAAAGCTGCAACCACATACTGATAACACTTATCTTCGGATCGAACCAAAATCTATGATATCAGTTGTTGGAAAAAAAACAAAATATAGAGAAAAAAGAGGAACAAAATAACAATACAAGATATTAACGTAGAAACTCCAAAACCAGAGACAAAACCATGACCGTTGTGAAATGACAACTAGAAAATAGTATTATGTGAAAATTGTTACATCACATAATATACTCTAAACCATCTCAGATCCCCCAGTACACTCACACCCTCCAAAACAAATATTTAATTATATCTCACAACACTCTAATACAAGAGTATAAGAGAATAAAGAAAATCAAATACAAGTTTAAAGTGTTTTTGACTGATGCATCTTGAAAGGAAGAACTTGAATCCTATATATAATTTTGAACTCCCTCTTCTTTCACTAATCTAAGTGATGTATGATTTAGAAGAACTTTAATCATATATATAACTTTGGATTCCTTCTTCCTTTACAAAATTAAGCGACATGAGACTTCTTCAATATATATATTTTTAACCAACCCCAACAATACTCTATATAAAATAATTCGTAACTACATATTATTTATATATTATTTAATTTTTATGGATAAAAAAACACAAAAAAAATATATAATTTGTATTTTGAAATACAAACATTAGTTTTCTCTATTTTTATATACCCAATGATGCCGACTTTGTCACCATTTGAATTTTTAAGACAAGTAATAATATTAGCATAAAGTTTTACTTAAAAGGAACAATATCAATCACTATTAAAATTTTGAACAATGTCACTATTAGGGGTAGAAATAGACTGGACTGAATTAGGCTTTATCAAACCTAAGTCTAGTCTGTTGAAAAAACTGAAGCTTAAGTCTGATTTGTAGTTTGTTATAGGTCTATTTTTAGGCCTAAGCCTGACCTTTTTTGAAGTCTGTTAGCCTACATTAAAGCCTATTATTTTAGACATATGTAAATAAGTAATTTAAATAATGTTTAAATAGACTAACAAACTAAAAAACCAATGAGATTAAAGTTTGTTTGCATTTATTTTAACTTATCAATTAACATAAATTTTGTGAGACTATTTATTTAAGAAGACTTGCGAAAACAAATTATAACATTGTTTATAATATATTTTCATTTATTTTCATAAGTTATTTAAGATAATCAAGTTTTATTTATGTATTTTGATTGAAATACAAAATATAACATAATGATAATAAAAAAGTTTTATTTTTATTTATATATGTCGGCCTATTAGATTTAAAAGACTTCTTTCATGATCTGAGACCTATCCTTTCTAACTAAATAGACTTATAAAAAAATCTAAACCTAACATAAATCTATGTAGACTAGGTTGTAACCCGAATCTATGTAGACTAGACAATAGATCCCTGTTATCGACTTGATCTATTTCAATTCCTAATCACTATATTAGATTTTTCCTAATTACTTTGTAATAGAAAAAAAAAATTATTAGATTTGAATATTGAGCCACGTGTCAAAAGACAAAGCTAATTGAAGAGTGTAGTAGATAGAATCCATTCCACTGTGTGGTTCTTTGCTGTGATCTAAAAAGTCCAATATGAAAGCATAAGGTCCCACATTTTTCTTTGCTTAAGCAGGGCAAAATGGTCACTACAGTAAAATAGATTATCAAGAGTAGTACTAATATCATCAGATAACAACTCTTATACTTTATTTCAACAGACAGATTTTCTCACAGAAGAATCACTTGCATATCTTGCCATAATAGATGTTACAGCAAAAAAAGTTAAAGTGTTGTACAATCATTTTGTTTATGGTATTTTGCTCTACTTGATTAAGGATGTACATTATTACTTTTGTACCTTTGTCCTTTTATTTCTGTAAGCAAATTTTACTTTTGATTTAATAGCATGGGCAAGGTAACAACTACCTCAAGTTCCAATGAATACGATGATGATGATTGAAAAAGTGGCTGTGATATGGGGTAGGGAAGTCAATGCTCATGTTCGCATATTATTTATTGTTCATCAATGAACCTGAGTTCATTCATTCACTACATCACCTTAATGACATTAGATGATTGAGAAGTTTAATTAACAATAAATAATCTGCCGGCATTCCATTATAAGAGAAGGAAAAACATTAAGGTGTGACAGAAAATGTTGCACTAGATCTTGTGTTAAAGAGTTAATACAAGAAAATTTGAAGAAAAGAAAAAAACGATGGGGAATATTTTAGAGTTACAACAAGAAAGCTTGAACAAAAAATCAGGTCAGAAGATCCACGGTGAAGGTTCAACGAGCAAACATTGCGCAGAAAAGCGCGTGGAATAGATGAGATATCACTCCAGATGAGAGCGCATGATTCTGGATTAAATGCGTACGGAAAATGTGATATTTCACTTCTGATGAGGGCACGTGATTCCAAATTTCAGTACATTTCTTTCTCTCTTGCGGTTGGATCTGATTGAACGGTCACCCGTATACCAGATCTCATTGAGATGGTTTTAACCGTTCGTCTTATATAAACTAAAAGACACTCAAATTACTTTCTCACTCATACTCTTATTTAGGTGTTAGAGTGTTAGGCATTAGAGTACTAGCTTTTAGGTGTTACAATATAAAGTAAAAGACACTCAAATTACTTTCTCACTCATACTCTTATTTAGGTGTTAGAGTGTTAGGCATTAGAGTACTAGCTTTTAGGTGTTACAGTGCTAGGCGTTAGATTTTTAGCTTAGCATATTCTTCATTCCACCGATTCAAAAATTCATTCATTCCACCATATCGAAACTCAAGTCTATTTGACCTTCACCTATCTCTAGTTCCGAACTTAGTCCCAAATGGAACAAATATATTAAAAAGTGTGTGTTAAACTTAATGTTCACCAATCTATTTATATTCAATGCAAAATGATGCTTTGGAGAATTCTTTTCAATATACTTTAGAAAACTTGGATGTAATTTAGAAAAGTATTTCCAACTCATCTCATACATTAGAGAAGATTGAGAAATTGAAAACCACATAAAAGTGAGGATGATTGATGATGATTTTTGTGTATATGTTTCATTATTTATAGAGCTAGAGACACCTCTTCTCTCTGGAAAAGTAACACTTCACCAAGAGTCACAACAATATGTGACCAGAGTATATTAACTTGCTATCATGTCTTAAAAATATATAACTAGCACATCTCTAATCAAATCCATAAAGAAACACAGCCATTGAAACTCAAATATGAGAAAACATACATAAAACAATTCTAACCTTTTATTCAAATTCAGGCGCTTAAACACGCGTGATTGTTAACAAAAACTAAAACGAAAAAGTACATGAAAATAAACCTAAAACAAACAGAATAGTACATTTCAGCAATACAATGTAAAACCTAAGCAATGCGCTATCTAGAGTGGACACCATCATCAACCATGACTCGGTAACTGTATTCTCAGGGAACCATAGCCAAAAGGGACTGTAACAAACAACCATTTCTCTACGAAAATTGCTTGCGAAAAAGGGCTAGTGAAAGCAATAAACCAAGGCTCCCTCGAAAACAACCAAGTCCACAAACCGCGCTTGCAAATCCACCCTTGATAGTCATATCAGCCAAAAATAGTATGCTGAATATTACCACCTGTTGCTTCATTATGATACTTCGATAAAAGTAAGATATATATCCTTTCTTTATTTATAGCAGTTCTAGCGCGATTAGGCCAGAATATCACATTTCCACAGACTCTCCACGAGCAACTCAATCGTGTTACTGCCAATTCCAATGCAGTTTTGAAGATTCAATCCTAACAAGTTCAGGCCCAATCTCTTCAGGAAAGGCGCACAATTGTTCGATATTTCAGAACAGCCAGACATAGAGAGAACTTGCAAACTGAGGTGATTGGCATCAGAGAGAACAGATATACCGGCATCGGTGATTGCACACCGCGACACATCTAGATCGTTGAGAAGTAGGCAGTTGTCTGCAATCGCAACCAAGCTTGCATCAGTGATATTCCAGCATCCATCAAGGTTTAGCATTTCGAGAGTTCCACCGTGTAGTCTTGTCATGGCGGAAACTATGCTATCTGTCAAGTTCCAGCAACCTGTAAGGTTCACCTTGACAAGTCCAGCTTCACAATTCTCCAAGAGAGGGAGAAGGCCTGCGTCTGTTATAGCGTAAAGTCCGGTGAAATCAACATGCTGAAGTTGGGGACACAGCTTCCCTATCATAGCCAAACTAGCACTTCCGAGACCATGGCAGTTTTTGATGGTTAAAGAACGAAGAGACTCACAAGGTGAAAGCATAGATATTTCCAACTCAATGTCTTTAATTCCCATACACTTCACTAGTGTAAGTGATTTCAAGTTTGCTTTGATGCTCGAAAGGGCACCGATAATCCCAGATTGAGTGAACCTGTTACACTCTTCCAAATGCAAGTTCTCCAGTGATCCGGCAGATTTGGAAAATGCAACTAATCCGTTGTCGGATACAAAGCAACACCTGCGAAGGCACATCTGCTTCAGATTTTGACAACCCTTACCGATGGCTTCGATGCTAGCATCAGTTACCCCATGGCATGAAGTTATAGTAAGTGACACAAGTTTCTGTAAACCTTGAGCAATACCCATAACCCAAAACCCTCTTTCGTTCACATTTCGAAGTCCGCTAAGAACCAGATTTGTTATTGACTTCCCATAATGGCCGATAACAGCCAGAGAAAAATCTGTAATATTCAAAATCTGAAGCTTTACCCTCGACAACTCGGAAGCCGACGATAACAAACTAGACACTCCATGATCACCAACAAGAGGACAATCCTTGATAGAGATAGAATGTAGATTAGGACATAACTTTGCAACCGCTTGTAAACCCTCATTTCCGATCTTAGAACACGATTCAATGTTTAACGTGGTCAAGTTAGGACAACCTTCAGCTATTGCAATCAAACCCTTGTTGGTGATCCACTGAGATTGGCACAAGTCGAGCTTCTCCAACATGTGACATCTTTTTCCAATCTCACACAGACCCTTATCACCAACAGAAGACACATTCCACAATGAAAGTGATCTGAGAGAAGGGCAACCATGAGCAACAGCCGAGAGACCACGGTTTGTAACACCTCGAACCGAGTTGTTTCCTCTGATAGACAGCTTCCCAAGTCCACCGCGCCAACTAGTCCCAACAGCAATAGCAGCAAGTCTTACATCGGTAGCTTTCTTCCCTTCCAAACGCCTCGTAAGGTAGCCATCACCATCATCATCATCATCATCATCATCATCATCACCTTCAACATCTTCCCGACTCTCATCTGAAGAAATTGTGTTCCTAACAGTCTCAATTTCATCTTTGCATATACCACTCACAAGCATAAGCCACCTTTTCGATACACAAGCACACGAGCTTCTCTCTTTTCCACTCGAAAGCCGTCTGAATATCTCAAAGAGACATTCGTCAGGAAGAATCTCGACACTAGACTTATGATCTTGCTCATCCTCAAGATCTCCAAAACTAATCGGGACACTGATTCGAGCTCGCTTCGTAGGAGAAGAGTACACATCAAACCTACCCCCCAACTCCACCGAACCCCCAGGATACAGTTCATCATCACCTGAAAATTTCAACCACAATCTAAATCAGCCACACACATAAACACGTGATTCTCCTAAATACCTACAAGTCATCATCACAATCTAATACCCTAGAAACAAAACTCACTATCTATCTTTCACATCATACAAACAAACACAATATCTATCACTAGCAGAGTCTTGCACATGCATGTTCATTCCATTCCACAAAAGGAAACATCTTTGTTCATAAACACATCACTATTAGTACTAGATCCAATCTATTATTCTTCCTATTCTTACAAACGATCCTAATTACAACAACAATCTATAAGTTCTTATGAATTGTCCAGCTATGATCAATCATATAATCTATTAAAAAAAAAAAACTTGAAAACCTATGAATTCTACTATTCTAGAATCAATCAACAATAGAAACAGAAAATCACAAGAAAACTTACCACCATGATTGACAAGGGCAGGCATGAGGACAACAAGAAAGAGAATCCCCTCAGAAGCAAAAAATCACAAAGAATACACAAGAACACAGTCAGAGAGAGGTTTATAAGAGAGAAAAGGGTGAAGAGCATTTGATATACAAAACCCCCTAAGGAGAAAAAATGCAAAAAAAGTAAGAAACTTTGATGAATTTCTGAAATTGGAGAATGTAGGTTAATGTCATGTAATTAGGAATATTGTCATGGTTTTATATATATTGGAAATTGATATAGAAAAAAAGAAAAGAAAAATGTATTAGATGTGATCCACATAGAATAGGTGCAATGGTACTGCAGGATTCTGAGAATACAATGAATCAAACCTTAAAACCGGTTTATTAACAAATGTACACATACACACGCACACTCTCTTTCCTAGTCCAACCAAACCAACCACCTCAGCAAAACCAAACCACTTTTACAAAACCAATACCGGCAAAACAAAACCACCCTTGTTTTTCTTTTTTTGTCGAATAAATTAGTTTTTTATTTTTTTATTTTTTTTAGGAGGTTGAATTTGTTTGCCTTAATAGAAGTTTCTCTATTTTTGTGTTTGATATTGACTGGTGCAAGAACAATGAACATGATGCAAGGAATCACCGATTCATGGACTCTGAGAATGGGTACTTCTGTTTTATTTATAATAGGTTTTTTTTTTTTTTCATTTTTATCTGTCTTAAATTATTTGTTTTTATTAGAATATTAATGTAATATTTATTATATTTTTCTACTAATTTACTTTTATTTATTGTATTTTAATTTATATAACTATGTCATTGTTGGAAATTCATCAAATATCTATGACGAATTTCTACTAATCTTGATGAACAAGATTGATATCACTACACAATGATAATGACTTATGAGAAAAGAAAAAAAAGAAGACAAATATTTTCTACAGAGTTTCTCTATGTCCACAAACCGTGGAAAACTTTCTTATTCACTTTGCAACTGCAAAATACTATAAATGACTTGATTGTCTTTATTACAAAAATAAGGGTTACCCCCTCTATTTATAGATTTAGATTAGCAACAGCTCAAAACTACAAAAGCCCAAAATACCTATTTTGGTACAAAATCAAATCTATTATATTTTAGACTTAAATCAAATTCTAACTAAATCTAAAACAAATCTAATATGTGTGCAGCTTGCTTCGATCCATAAGCTCTTCGATTGGGCAATGACTTCCTTCGAGCAACCTACTTCGATCCACCTCTAAACCCTTCGACACACATAGTTTCGATACTATGAATTACAATTTAACACACCACCTAATTCATTGTGTCTAAACTATCTACATTCATCATACCTCTTAGTCTTCGAAATACTTCGACATGCACACCCTTCGTCATGATGTCTGCAATTTGATTCTCAGTTCTGCAGTGTTTCAAATTCATCTTCCCATCTGCTACCTGTTCTCGAAGATAGTGGAACCTTATTTCGATGTTCTTGCTTTGACCATGTGCTATTGGGTTCTTCCCCAGATTGATAGATGGCATGCTGTCGATCTTCATGGTAATTGCTCCATGATCTTTCCCTGTTATCTCTTCGACCAAGTTCACCATCCAAGTTGCTTGACATGCACAAAGAGAAGCAACTATGTATTCTTTTTTGTATGATGATAATGCCACTACCGGTTCCTTTCTTGAACTCCAAGCAACTGGTGCACCACCTAACATAAACACATATCATGCTGTTGATTTTCGATCTTCAACATCACTACACCAACTCGAATCAGTGTATCCCACTAACTTGCATTATTTTCCTTTATCAGCTACAGGAAACAAAATGTCATAGTCGAGAGTTCATTTGAGATACCTTAGTATCCTCTTCACAGCTGCTAGATGTGATACCTTTGACTTCTGCATGAATCTACTTACCATACCTACACTATATGCTAAGTCAGGCCTTGTATGACAAAGATATCTCAATGATCCAATAAGTCTCCTGCATTGGGTTGGGTCGACATCATCTTCATCTGCATCTTTCGAAAGTTGCAGTCTTGGTTCTGTAGGTGTCGAAGTTGAGTTGCATTCTTCCATCTCAAATCTCGTGAGAATTTCTCCTGCATATCTTCTTTGATGCATCATCAAACCCCTACTGCTCTTGTAGAATTCGATGCCAAGGAAATATGAAATCTCACCCAGATCAGACATTTCGAATTCCTTGCTGAGATCACATTTGAAGTCTTCGATCTCACTTTTACAGCTATCTATTATCAACAAATCATCGACATAGAGACATAGTATAAGCAATTCACTATTGCTTCTTCTTACATATACTCCATGTTCAGTTGTGCACTTCATAAATTCCTTCTCTCTTAGGAAACTATCAATTTTCTTATTCCAAGCTCTTGAAGTTTGTTTCAATCCATACAGGGCTTTATGTAGCCTGTACACCTTTCTCTCTTCGTCATGTTTCACAAACCCAACTGGTTGTTTAACATAAACTTCTTCGTCTATGGGTCCATTCAGGAATGCACGCTTCACGTCCATCTGACATATGTGCCATCTGTTTATTTCTGCTAGACTAACAACCAACCTGATTGTTTCGATCCTAACAACAGGTGCAAAAACTTCATCGAAGTCTATTCCTTCTTTCTGTAGAAATCCTTTCGCCACAAGCCTTGCTTTGTGTCGAGTTACTTCCCCTTTGGAATTCATCTTCACTTTGTATACCCACTTGACATCAATTGCCTTCTTTCCTTGAGGAAATTCGACAAGTGACCAAGTGTTGTTTTCTTCGATAGACTTCACTTCTTCGTTCATTTCTTTCACCCACTTCGAATCCTTCAATGCTTCAGCTGCATTGACAGGTTCGACATCTGCATGGAAAGCATAATGTACCAACTCACCTTCATTATCTATCACATCATCTGATGTAATCACACAATCTTACAATATTGCAGGCATGCGTCTTGTCCTTTTAGGTCTACTTATACTTGGTTGATCTATAACTGCTGGTTCCTCTTGTCGAACTTCTCTTTCGACTTGAGTTTCTAGTTCTTCAAGTAGGATTCCCACTAAATCTTTCTTGACATTTTCAGTCCAGTCCCATTCTTTAAGCTCATCTATGATTACGTCCCTGCTGATCACAATCTTCTTGTTCACTGGGTCAAACAACTTGTAACCTCCCGTCGAATGATATCCAACTAGAATCATTTGACTCGACTTGTCATCAAGTTTTCTTCTTAACTGATATGGCACATGTATATATGCAATAGATACAAATACATTTAGATGACTCAAGCTAGGCTTCACACCAGACCAACATTCTTCTAAAGTAATTCCTTCTAGCTTCTTCGTAGGACATCTGTTCAAAATGTATGTTACAGTCGAAACAACTTTACCCTAAAAGTATTTAGGTAAATTCTTGCCTTTCAATATACTTCTTACCATATTCATGATGGTCCGATTCTTCCTTTCTGCAGTTCCATTGTGCTGTGGAGTATAGGGTGGCATCATCTCATGCATAATCCCTTCCTTTTCACATAACATGTCGAAGTCTTTCGACACATACTCTCCACTACCATCAGTTCTCAAAACTTTGAGTTTTCGACCACTTTGTCTTTCGATCATAGACTTAAACTTGGCAAATACCTCGATCACTTCACTTTTCTTTTTGATCAGGTAAGTTCACGACTTTCGACTGAAATCATCTATGAATGTAACAAAGTATTTGTTACCTCCCATAGAATCCACTTGGATTGGTCCACATACATCAGAGTATATGACTTCAAGAATAACCTTCGACCTGTTTCCTGTATCCTTGCTGAATCTATTCTTGTGCTGCTTCACCTGCACACATTCCTCACATACCTCGTTTGGAATGTTAATTTCTGGCAAGCCTGAAACTATGTTTCTTATCTTCGAATCTCTGATGTCTCTAAAGTTGAGATGGCCTAGTCTATAATGCCATATTCACTCATCTCTTCTAGCTGTAGTCGAAAGGCACTTGTGCTCCATCACATTTAGTTCGATCTTGAAGGTTCTATTTTGAGACATAGGAGCCTTCGAGATTAATCTTCCATTTGCGTCGACGACTCTCATCATCTTATTTTTGATCGACACTTTATAATTCTTTTTGACCATCTGCCCTATACTGAGCAAATTGCTCTTCATGCATGGTATGTACAACACATTGGAAATTACTAACCTCTTACCATCTTTCCTCATAATCATAACATCACCAATACCTTCAGCTGCTAGGATATTGTCATTTGCGAATTTTACCATATTTTTCATTGAGGGCTTTATATTGACAAACCAGTATTTCCTTCCAGACATATGTGATGAGCATCCTGAATCCAAGTACCATTGGTCCTTGAATCTATCTTCATCTCTTATTGTGACCATCAACATCATCTCTTCTTCTTCATGTTTTTCAAACTTTACATCACTTTCTTGATTCTTTCATTTTTCTGAACAATCACTCGAATAGTGACTATACTTCTGACAATTGTAACATTGAATGTGACTCTTGTCAGGTGTTTGACCACCACCTCTTCCTCTATTTGTAACACCAGCTCTTTGGCTGCCTTGGTATGGTCTTCTTTGATTCGACACGTTTCCTTCGTTCTGGTTTCCTCTACCATTCGATTTGTTGTATCGACCTCTATTTCTGTCGAACCATTTTCCTTTGCCTTTGGTTTCTTTTGCTGAATGTGCCTGCAAAGCCACGTCACTCTTAGATTTTCCTGCAGCTCTTTCAGTCATTCTTTATTCATGAGATTCAAGCGTCCCTTGATGCTCTTCCTTTGTCAATTTCGACAAGTCTTTCCCCTCTTCTATAAACACCACTACATGGTCGAACTTAGGAGCCAAAGATCTCAAGATCTTCGAAATAACAACTCTTGTTGTCAATGTTTATCCACATACCTTGATTTGATTCACTAGTTTTGTAACCCTAGTGAAGAAATCATATATGCTCTCACTATCTTCCATCTGAAGCAATTCATACGTTCTCTTGTGAGTTTGTAACCTCACTTC